TGTCTACATAAGTACAGGAATAGATTTTTCTAAATGAGGTTTCTAAATTTTCCTGAATGCACATTTTTACCAGCTTTGTTTCCCTTGAAAGCTTTAATGTAGGTTTACATTGAAGTTTTCATTGAAGAGATTTTATATGAAAAGAAAGAACAATTTCAGAAATTGAATTCTGGTTCTGAAAACACCTGCAAGTGCAATTACTTGGGATTTGTGCTATCTTTAGATATGTATTTTTATTGTATTATATGCAAGTTATAAAATTTCAGGTGATTTAGTATGAACAGAAATTTCAAATTTGAAAAGCTACCCAGAAGTTGTGATAACGTACCACCTTGAATGAATAGGTGAATGAGAAAGAATGGTGTATTCACGTGAGCTTCTGGTAATTCCCGATAAACTAGGCATCTCAATTAGAAACATTTGGGGGATTCTGATATAACTACGTCACAAACGTTCCACCCTACAAATATTTCTAGTGGAAAATGTAGTTTAAACATCCGCTGGGTTCAGCTGAAGCAGAGCAGAAATTTTGTCTGTCAGTTTTAGTTATAAGGAGTGAAAGTCAAATTAGCTGTAGGTAGGTAAGATCCTTTACAACAGAACACAAAAACTGTAGTTGCTGGATCAAAGCTTTCATTTGAACTCGCTCAAAATGTGCTGCTCCAAACCAGTGATTTTTTTCAGTACTATGCCTAATTTCATATCTTTGTCAGTGATAGACAGTATCTCATGGTTCACATTTTGTACTGATATGTTAATTCAAACAATAGGACTTGGAAAAAGTAGTAGGTAAAACATGAGTAGTTCACCTCGTAGGCAGGAAACCACACCCTAACAAGACTGGACTTCTGTATCTTTTTTAAATCCAAGAATCTGAAGAAGCCTTCCTCATCCTGCATCCTACTCAGGTCATGCCAAGGTCTAGACCTGTAAATTATTTAAGACAGAACCACACGGAATCACGGAATAATTGAGGTTGGAATTGACCTCTGGAGATCATCTAGTCCAGCTTCCCTGCTCAAGCAGGTCCTACTAGAAAAAGTTGCCCAGTACCATGTCCAGTTGTACTTTGAACATCTCTGAGAATGGAGACCCCATAACTTCTTTGGGCAACCTATGCCAGTGCTCAGTCACCCTCACAGTAGAGAAAGTGTTTCCTGATGTTTGGACAGAATGTCCTGTGTATCAGTTTGTGCCCGTCGTCTCTGGCCCTGTCACTGGGTACCACTGAAAAGAGCCTGGCTCCGTCTTCTTTACAGTTTCCCTTCTGGTAGTTATACACATTCATGAGATCCAAGCTACCAAACCCAAAATCTAGTTCAGATAGCAGTTACTTGTCTTTGGTGTGCTGTGGTGCAGTTGCAGTGCCTCCTTTCCCTTCCTGGGATGTTAGCTACACCTCATGATTCTGGCCACTGTAAGTGATCCAAAAGGATTCTTTGACCTTCCCTTTCACAAAGTATTTTGCGCTTTTGTTCACACCTGCATGCCCTATGCTTTCAGGCTCTTTTCTACATTTATTGTTGCTATTAAGCAATATCTGGTTCTTATACTGCACTTTTTTTTTTAATAGAAGCTAAGATTTTTATGCAGTTTTGTGATACCAATGACTGGTTTAATTGTGTTGTGACTAAATTTAGAAAAATTACCATTTGCCATTAAATAGCATGTATACAGAGAACGCAGTGCTGCAGTGCAGAGTACAGTACAGAGGCAGGGACTAGACTAAGATACAACCTAAAACCAGAAAGGGAGTGGATCCTTCATCCATCCGTTAGCTGCTACAATAACTCCGCAGAGAGGAAGTTGTCATAAATCCATACTGTTAGAATTGAAAAGGAGCAACAAGCGCCACCAGGATAGTTTTCTTATCCTTTATGTGCACATCTAAACATCACAATGAAAAAGCCAAGACTGAAAAAGAAGGCATAAGCATATGTTGAACTGATACCGAAAAATCCCACATTGAAACTAGTATGAAACGTAGCCTGTTTTTATGGTTCATTACCATTCATCATTTCAGCCATTGAAAATTTTACTTTCACAGTATTTTGTATTTTTCTCATATGTGTTTGCAACTATTTGATTTATACTTACTTATAATATAAAATGTTATAAAAAATATATAAAATGCCCCTAAATCTTTTTTCTTATCTCTAGCCATTCTGTTTTTGAACAACCAACAAAACCCTGGCAGCAACAACAAAGCAAATGAATAATTTTGGATGTAAGGCCTGTTTGCTTTGAAAAAGATCAGGATGTTGGTGCATCAGAATGTTGCCAGATCAGCTGTCTTTCTCCTTTCCAACAGAGATGATTCTGAATTAGGAGGTTTGCAGCACAGATCAAAGGGAAGAATTTTGTCCAGGCTACTTCTACTGCAGTTTCTGTTGGTAATTACAGTTCTGGTCTAGGACACTGTAAATGGCATCCTTTCTCTTCTGTACCTTATTTAATCAAGTCTTGTGATTGTTCATTGCATATCCGAGATCAAAAAATGTCATTGATAAATCCAGAGGAACAAGACAGTGACTCAAACATCCCATGGTTCAGATTAGCCAAAGGCAAAGGGGGCACTAAACAACAGCATAAAATATTGTTTAACGATTGACAACACTGCCACTGTGGATTTTTCCTAAATAATCTAATACGGTTTACAAGAATTCAATGTAAATATAATCCATTTCTCAAGGAAACATCTTGTCATTTATAGTTTAGCATGAAATATATGGCATGGAGAGAATGATTTTAATTCATTAAGCTCATGTTTGTGCAGCAACAAAAGAGTAAGAAAATGTGCCTAAAACAGAGTCAGGGATCTACTGGGGAGCAATTAGCTTCCCACTGCAGGTCAATGGGAAGGAGCGACTGCTGTCTTCAGGTCTCCAGCTAGTACCACATTGGGGTGTGTCACAGATCCTCCTTCCAGCCTCAAGACTAAATTTTCCTGACTCTCTGATTGCAAATGTGATGAATTACCTTACCCACAGGTATCTTAGAGAAACACATCTCCAGGCTGAAGGGATGAATACACAGGCTGGTAAGAGTCTGGGGGACATTCCACCAGAGAGCTGATGCTTTCAGGCTCCTGTTTAGTGTAGTAGTCCTGCCTGCCTATAGCTGTACAAGTGAAGACTTGCAGGGCTGCACAGTCCATGACTGCCTGTATTTTCAGCTACAAATACAACCAAAACAAAGCCCACTTTCAGAAATGCTTTCATTAAGCTGTGTTGCCTTCCTTCTTCAGCATAGGTAGATTTATTAAAACAGATTTAATCACGGGAAACTAGTGGATTTCTTAGTCCCTGATACCTCTTCTTCACAAGCAAACACTCTTTTGATTCATATGCTTTTTCAGAGACTAAAGGGAATCTTTATGTGAGAGTCTCATGACAAAGTACTGGCAGCAGAGCAACAGAAATAAAGCAGTGGTCTTACGATTATATTTTAATAGCTTTCTTTTTATTTTAAGATACTTAAACCTAATCCCCCAAGTTAGCCCAATCACAGTCTCCAATGTAACATTGTTTTCAGCTATTAGCAGGCAGTTTTTAAAGCCCTCTTTAGGTGATACATAGGGCCCACATAGTGAAGTCAATTGTTAGACAGGGTATAATTTAGACTTCAGCTCTTCCTCTCAGTTTGAAATAAAATGATTACATTTCAGGAGAGCCTAAGGGAAGATTAAAAGTTTTATATCAAAAGTTGAATATTTTCTTTTGTTGTACACTCTTCTTTTAAAGAAAATGGTATTCATTTAAAATAATGCATGTTCTGATGCACTTGTAAAGGCACTACTCTGAATTAAAAAGAAATTCATAAAGTATGCATGTATGGGAGAGGAAGATTGCAATCTTCATTTGAGTGTTTAGTCAAAGGTTTTTAACTCAGTCCATTCTGCTTTGTTCATAGGATGAGGTATCTGCAAAGATGCATTGTATATAACAGATGTCCTGTAGCATTTAGAGAGCAGCAGTTACAGTGACAATATCTTCTGGGGCTCGTCTCCACAGGCAGGTTATAAAGTGATATTGGATCCTTTGTTTCAGACTGGAGAATGGTCCTTGCCTGTATTTAAACCTGTTAAAAGTGGTTACAGGCTATTGCTTCACATAATTATAGTTCTGGTAACGCCTGTGATGCCTCTCATTTATTGTATCCCAAGGTTATCCAAGGGTAGAGGCCACTTGCAGAACACAAAGTTGTAAAGCTAAAATGGGTCTTAAAAATAGATGGAATAGCCCAGATATGAACAGAATAAGAAGTGAAGAACAAGATATGAACAGGATTAAGTTATCATCTGAAAAGGTCAGCTAGCTTTTATAGTTGATATCAGTGGGGCTGTTCTCCCAATAATGGCCTGGGCACATTTATAAAGAAGCATTGCCTATTAAAGGGAATTCCTGGAAACCTCCTAAAAGCAAATGTGTATATGCAATGAAGTCCCATAGGAGTTCACCACACCTGCCAAACGAGCATAGATCTTTTTCCAGAAGACATCAAAAGAGCCTAAATATAATACTGTGGTAGTTAAGCTGCTGCTTTCATGCCTGTTAAAATGAAGAGTGCAAAACCTGTTATTGTTACTAAGGGAGGATGGTCACTGAACTGGCAAGGTGAAGTTTTCTTGTAATTTTATTGCAGGAAAAAAGTTAAGGTCTTTCTTTACATTCTTCTGGAAAAAAAAATAAAGTCTTTAACCCGTTAGCACTAACGCATGCTGCTATCTTAAGTCAGCATTAACAACATGGGTTTACATTCATTTGCTTAATATCAGTGGTACTTGTTTTCACGTGTAGACACCTGACCAGGGTAACCTAGGTTAGCACCACTTTATTAGCTTCCATACTGCCAGTTAAGTAGACAGGCAATAATAAATATTTGGGTTGATTTAGAATTTAAGAAGGGTGGGTGGTCATGGAACAGAATGGTGAAAGTCTGTGGTCATCTGATATTATCTCTCACAAATTAGATGAATTATTAATGTGCTGTTATTTCAGATTTCTAGAAGAACTGTAGTGGTGGGGGAATTAAGACGACAATTAATGGCCACTGAGGAAGAAGACAGTTTATCATATTCTCCCCTGAGTGTGACCACTGGAAATGATACATGCATCCTTTTTTATGCTAGTAATTTCAGCCTCAAAACCAGCAGTTCAGTTTTTATAGATTTGACAAGTGCAACATTTGTAACACATAATGTGACTACTTCTTCCTCTGAGTGCTCAGACAGCAATGCAACGTAAGTAGCACAAGACATTTCATATCATAATCCATGTAATTCTGAAAATTAATCAGAAATGATGCATGTCAAGTTAATATTAACTTAAATTTTCTTCTTCTAAAGCATCCAAATTAAAAAAACCTAACATACTAAATTGGATATTCTTAGAAGAAAAATACTGAGTCAAGACCACTAAAATTTTTCAGATGCAGTCTTATTTTCACAATTCTTTTCCTCTTACAGTCCTTACTTCTTTGTTTGTTTATATTGGTCCAAACATGTTTCCCTGTGCCTGATCTCACAACCACAGAAATCTCCACTGGCGTTAGCGAGACCATAATTTCATTGTAAAATTCCCTTGAAGGGAAGTATTGCTGTTTACTAGTTAGTAATTCAGCTGGAAGTACATTAATGAAACACTATCTCTGTTTTCCTTTACTTTGAAGCACCTGCTCCTAGGTAAAAAAAAACCCTCTAGATGTATTCTTCTGTGTACTGAACCTTTGCTATATGACTTTTGTAATTGCATGTTGATTTAGAATATTCCCTCTGCTTGAAATGTCACAATGATCTAATTAAAGCTGACTACTGTAACATTAAAAATCTGTTTCTTATACTTAGACTGTCATTGGAATATACAAGGCCAGTGAATGGAATCAGCAGCCTAAACATAAGGTAAGTTATGATTATCCTTAAATAGATCTTTGTGATGTACAAAGCCTGCTTGTAAATAGGAGCAAAACAAGAAGAGGAGTTAAGTAAGTGAAAATTGTTTTGAAATTACAATTTGCTTTCTGTTCTGAAGAGTTACTATGCAGGAGAACAATAATACAGTCTTTATAGAGAGAATATATTACTGTGCTCAGGTGAAGATCTGAAAAAGTGGTGTAGGCAAACATACTGTAAGGTACTGGTATATGCATCATCCTGTTTTGCTAACAGGATGAAACAAAATCTTGTTTCAGGGAAATCTAACTGTGATTTGTAAACAATTCTAGGGGCTGAAGTCTACTTTCATGGCCACGGTATTTAGTCCTAATGGGGATAACCAGCGTATTCTATCAGAGGTAGCTTGTGGCTTATAAGGGGTGCAAAACCTTGTAATTTTCCTGCCTCATGGACGATGACAGGACCATGTTTCTCCTGCCATCAGAAGAAGGAAGAAGAGCTAGGGAATGAGAAGACTTGGGATGAAAATGAGTCATCCATTAACCTAGCAGTGCCAAGTGCACCAATAAAACATATCCCCAAGTGTCACATCTACATATCTTTTAAATACCTCCAGGGATGGTGACTCAAACACTTCCCTGGGCAGCCTGTTCCAGTGCTTGGCAAGCCTTTCGGTGAAGAAATTCTTCCTAATATCCAATCCAAACCTCCCCTGGAGCAACTTGAGGGCATTTCCTCTTGTCCTATTGCTTGTTAGGTGAGAGAAGAGGCCGACACCCAGCTTGCTACAACCTCCTAGATGAACTAGATGTTTGCTTGGGCAGCAGAAAGACAAATTACTTTTGACATCTAAAAATGGTTTTGACATCTTGAAAAAGTGAAATTGAAATCCAAGGAAACCAAAGAGAGGAAGATTAAAGTAGTAATGTAGGAGATAATCAGAGCTTGAACAACATTTTGGTAGGAGAGTAAAAGAGGCACGTGACATCAGGCTGGTAAGCATGAAGGAATAAATATCATTATTTAAACTGAGATTGAAGGACATTCTAGATTTAGGTAAAAGGACCCCTGGAAGGACTTGGGTTGAAGAGAGTCGGTGATGAGTCTGACACTGTAATTGGAGTGCTATAGGCACTTTTCAGTCATCATCAGAGACCATGACCGGTGACAAAACCCAAACATGCTTTGTTATTTAACATCTCCCCTTCTCCTCAAGCATCTAGAACTTTGTGAAAGAACGTAATATGCAAATAAGATTGCTGTTAGTGTAGTAGTTTTACCTTTTTTTTTTTAAACTATTGCATTTAGCTGTGTCTTTAGTGATGGAGGTAAGCATTTTTTGGCTTCAGTACTGTAAATTATCGAAGGGCATACATTTCCCTGAACACCATGGGGAATTAAGGAAACATTTTCCTTGAATCCAATTAAAAAAATACTATTCTCAGACCAAAACTCTGCCCAAATTGGGTCTTTGTTTTTACTCTGAGACACAAAATACCACTTTCTCTGGTGCTTCTGTCTACTGCCTGCGTCACTCTCATACAGACAGAGCCACCAAAACAGTGCCCTGGATTCTTATTCTGCATCTTTACTCATACTAATGCAGGTCTTAGCTGCTCCAGTAATCTGGTTGTTTTCCACATTTGTCCTGAATGTGACTATTGTCAGCATAATACCACGCTTTCTAGTAAAATTTCACTTCCAAGAAAACAATATGAATCAAAAAGCACCTGAAAATCCTGTGGAGCATGACACTGTGTTGCAAAACTAGCAACCAAGTTGTTAGACGGGTTGTTTTCTTTAAAGTAGTCAACAGGTTTTGCTTAACTATTGTCGTGGTTCAAGCCCAGCCGGCAACTTGGAACCACGCAGCCGCTCACTCACTCCCCCCCCTCTTCCTTCCTCCCCCCGCTCCCAGAGGGATGGGGAGGAGAATCAGAGGAATGTAACTCCCACGGGTTGAGATAACAGCTCTCCAGTAACTAAGGTATAATACAAACCACTACTGCTACCAATAATAATGATAAGAGGAATAACAAGGGGAGAGGACACAACCGCTCACCACCCGCCGACCGATACCCAGCCCGACCCGAGCAGCGATCTGGGCCTTCCGGGTAACTCCCCCCAGTTTATATACTGGGCATGATGTGCTGTGGTATGGAATACCCCTTTGGCCAGTTTGGGTCAGGTGTCCTGTCTCTGCTTCCTCCTGGCTTCCCCTCCTCTCTGGCAGAGCATGAGACTGAGAAAGTCCTTGGTCAGAGTAAACATTACTGAGCAACAACTAAAAACATCGGTGTTATCAGCGTTGTTCCCAGACTGAAAGTCAAAAACACAGCACTGCACCAGCTACTAAGAAGGAGAAAAAGTGACTGCTGTAGCTGAACCCAGGACAACTATACAACAGGAAATTGCAACCTTAGGATGCTACTACAGAAGCAAAATACTCAGGCAGTTGAAACGTTTAGCTTAGATTTTGATTGCTGCAGCAGGCATAATAAGATCAAATGTTAGTGCAGTGCCTGCATATGGACTTCGCGAGTATTATTCAGACTTCTGTTTTGTCATTCGTTTTCTAAAATCCTATCATTTTAATTAATTATTGGAAGAAAACTTTAATGTGGTCATGAATCTGAGGTGCATCTGAAGAGAAGAAATTTGAAGCAACACTGCAGACACACTGGCTGTAAATTAAAGGAGAATATCAGTACAAAAGGTGCCCCTGTGGTGAGATGGAGAGAAGAATCAGAAAGTGGCAAAACCTGTGGGTTAAGATAAGAACGGTTTAGTAATTGAAATAAATAATAACAATATAACAACAACAATAGTAGTAGTAGTAACAAAAAGGAGCTGGAGAGAGAGAGGAATAAAACCCAAGGGAAAAAAAAAAGAATAATGCACAATACAATTGCTCACCCACTCACTGACCAATGCTGAACCTGATCCAAGCAGCGACTGGTCCCTTCCAGGTAACTCCCCCAGTTTATATACAGGGCATGACGTGCTGTGGTATGGAATACCCCTTTGGCTAGTTTGGGTCAGGTGTCCTGTCTCTGCTTCCTCCCAGCTTCTTGTGCCCCTCCTCACTGGGAAAGCATGAGAGACTGATAAGTCCTTGATCAGGGTAAGTGCTACTGAGCAACAACTGAAACATTGGTGTGTTATCAGCATTGTTCTCACACTAAATCTAAAACAGAGCACTGCACCAGCTACGAGGATGAAAATTAACTCTATCCCAGCTGAAACAAGGACTACCACCTTGTGCTGAGCAGCCAGTCATTCCACCTCCTACTAGCAGCTGCAACAGCTGCTTCATCCCATGAAAAGAGCTGCCATCTCCCTCTCCCTCCCTCTCTCTCTAACAAGGACATCAGTCCCATTCATCCTCCTGCATTTGCCACTGAGAGGTGAACTGTTAGGGAGCGGTTGTGGAGTGTTTCTGGTTGTGCTAGTTTTAGAAAAGTGAACTACTGCTGCAGCAGGGAGCAGTGAGCAATAGTTTTTGCTAGAAGAAGCATCATGTCAGTTCTCTCAGCAGCTGATGACATCCAGCTGTTCAAGAACCTGTCTGTCATCTTCTCTGGGAAAAAGCGTCAAAGTGAATGGAAGTGCAGAGCATTAGTATTTTCCCCACTTATATTGATAAGTGCTTGACTGTTGTTGCTCATAGCACATACAGAATAGAATTGATCCAAAACCCATGTTTTAAAGTCTTTTACCCAACAGTTGTGTTTCTCTTTGAATCTTTGACACAGTAGTAATTCCGTCTAGTTTCTTTTCCTGAAATATTTCTCTTTGTAATGAATAGGCACATGAGATGATGATCAGTACCAGGTGGTGGCAGTTAGAGTTCTGGTTATCTGGCACAAAAGGAGTCAGGCCTGATGTTTAATATGAATACAGCATTTCCTATAAAAGCCAAGGCACTTTCAGTCCTGTGGATAAAATCTTTGTTATTTCTCCTCTTGTCATTTATTTGCTATATTGTGCTCATTCTATTTGCTACCTACTCATCTGAGAAAATATTAAACTAAATGAAATTATTATATTGATTTTTGTTGTTTGAATGACTTTTTTGTCATTTAATGAATTATAGTTGTATTGGTTAAGCATGTGCTTGGTGGAGGTTGTTCACTATTAGTTCTTTGGAAAAATGCTAAGGATAAAAGCCTATATTATTAAGTTAAGCATGCTCAACTACTTCACTAATTAGAATGCTAATCCTCATAAATCCGCAAGTAACAAAAAATTTTAGTCTCTGGTGCAATATGAAGAGAAAGTGCTCTCCTGGAGGTCACTTTAGAATGTACTCATATACATAACCAACCTTATAAAACTTGTTTGTTCATATGGTAAATCTCTGAATAATTTCCTTGTTTGCCAGTTTTCATATCTGCTGAGCAAAAGTAGAGAGCACACCCAGCATCTGTGGTTGGCACAAACATTTAAATCAACTTCTCTGTGCTTACAAGTGACCTTCAGCTACTGCCTATAGCACTGTATGGAGACATGACGGAAATTCTATTCAGTTTGTGCGCTATATCAAATGCCTTCTAGAAATTAACACTTCAGCTAATACATGTTTTAATTTTGTAACTTTATCACTATAACAATATAATACTTTCCATAAATATTTGTGAATGTATATTAGATGAAATGGAAATGTTTTTTTCATTTTCACTGATGCTGAATGTTTCACTTTCAGCTGAATGTTGTATAGAAAGAGCTGTTTAGGCTTGAAATGTAAGGAATGCAATAAAGAAAAACATCCTTTTCTCACCTGAATGACGCTTTAAGTTCTAGGATTCCTTTTAAGCATTTTGAAACCCTTGAGGACTCTAAAGTCCTATGAATCAAATGCTCCTAAGGAGCATTGTTTGTGTTGAATTTAGACTATGTTGTGGTACTGAAAGCAACCAATTTGAACAAGTAAGCAATATTCTAGAACAGATAATATTCTCTATACATATATACCTTTCAGACCAGAAAATATTCTATACTGTGCCATATTTATAGATGATTGCTTATTTTTCAAACTTGTCATAATTTCACCTAAGTATTATCCCAAATTTTAAAATCCACATAGGGTGTTGCCCATTGTGGATAAACAGAATATTTCATTTTGTAGCAAGCCTCACATTGCTAAAAGATCCCTTTTCTGAAGTATTTGTCATTATTAATAAGCAAAAATAAAAAATCTTTAGCAAACTATATACAGCAATACATATGTAGACCAAATAGGCTTAAAGTATTAAGCAGCATACAGTAAGGAGAAAACTTTATCATATCCTTATGAGATCTCTTGAACACTTTAAAGTAACCGAGTAGAAAGTGGTAAAGACTAGGACATAGTCCTGATCTGTAAAGGATTTGGATGTTCTCAATTATTTCTGTTTCAGAACATTTATCTGGGAGGTGTTCAGACTGCAGTGATAGTAACGTATATATAAAGCCCATGATTATAAGCTACTGGAAACTGCAGCAATACCACACATAGACAGACCTTTTAAAAATGAGAAAATAGTTATTCGTGCCTAACCTACTGCAAGTTGGGAGACTAGGGCTGATGACCCTTCCCCACCCTCCAGTGAGGGAAAACTGTCTTCCATTGCAAATTCAGACATTTGTGAAGGAAATTGCCATTTAGGCATCTGAGTGAAGGAAGAATTGCAATCGTAAATCAGAATGGTTATCATGTCTGTACCTATCATAAAAGCAATTTTCAGAAAACCTGGTAGAATGTTCATTGAGAGCCACTGCAGGCCTACTGACAGTCTCTTGGGTTCTGCTCCACTGATTATAAACTGTTGGTAACTGCTGAAATCCTGCACTGACAGAGGCCCTTGAATGAAATTGCATTTGCTCCTTGCCTGCCACAGCTATGGAAAGCTGTACTTGTGAGATGAAACTGTAAGTAGTAAAAACATACTCACAGAATCTCTTCATTTATGGACAATCCTAATGACATAGAAGGCCAACCTAAGATACCAACTGTGATGTTTGCAGCTAGCAGTAGTGAACCTTTATCTGTCACCAGTACTTTGTCAAATGAATATTAACTTTCTTCTGTCATTTTTACTTTTTTTTTTTCCCCTCTGTTTTCTTTGTAGGTTTTTAATGACCAACAAGTTCTATGAAGGCTCAGCTAGAAACTGGTCCACTTTATATTCAGTTGAGATTGTACAAGATGGAGAAAAGTTTGCTAAATTTAATGTTTCTGTCATCTCTGCTCCTGCAGAGTATTCATCTCATTGTCAGCTGGTGGGAACAAGCAATCTTTATCCTGCAACGCTTATTCCATCCAACGATGAGGCAGAAAACTGGGATGTTTTCATTTCCAGTTTGCAAGTGAGTACACATTTCCATTTCAGAGATAATTTTAAGAACCATTACTTGCTATTGTAGGTGCTGAACAGCACACATTCATAATGCCCTTACTTTCATTTCAGCTTGAGGGAAAATGTAAAAGAAAAGTTGTTCCCCCTAGGTGATCCATTCAATAAAGGGGTAAAAAGGACGTCAGTTGCTGAACAATAAGAACATGAAAGCACAGGTTTGAAAAACAAAAAACAATGTAATTCACAGAAAAGAAAAACCAGTAAAACCAAATGTACTTAATCAGGCAAAGAATGACTAAGTCCACATGCCTGTTTAATGAGTTGGGCTGCTATGGGAAACACGGGCCTCTTAGGTGGGTAGCTTTATGCTGCTTACTTTGTTTTTATTTGAATTCTTTGCACTTTGTTTACCTAGGAAACTACAGCTTAGTGTAGAGCGACATGGTACCTGCATGGTGAAGCCTTGCATAGCTTGTTCCAAGGCAAGGCTGAACTGATACAGCTTTTCACTTTAGTTCTGGGGCTAGATCAGTCACTACCACCTAAAGAACCTCTGTGGGATGTTGTCTAGGTGTGCCTATTTTCTTGGATGTCACCACTCATAGCTGTACACAGTACCAAAACTACTCTGGTTCCGGTGTGGTTTTTTGTTGGTTTCGTTGTTGTTACAAGAATGGTTGTTCTGCCATTATAGCTTTTATCCTTTTAAGGATCTCAGGATCACCTATGGACTGAAAGAGAAGGCTGCCACCAAAAGCACTGCTTTTCTTTAGTATGTGTCGTGGTGGTTTAGAGTCCACTTTGCTCCTAAGAAAAACTGCCAAAACCTTTCAAATCAAGGATATTATGATTATTTGTGGCTAAAATATTTCAAAGTTCAAAAATTAGATGTTCAGTGTACACTTCAGAGCCATGAAAACAACCGATTTTACTTGAAGGCTTTGTCAAAGGTCAAATGATGTGAGGACTCCATGAAAAAAATATTTTAAAAATCAACAGTAAATGCAAACTGGTGTAACCATGACAAATGATGCTGGTCCAAACACTAAAATTAAAACTTCCACAGTACGGAAGTCTCTGTCCAAAAGGCTTTTACATTCATAAAAATCAGAGAATCACATGTAAGTATTTTTAGCTTTTCTATAGATAGAAATGCTGCTGGAAGTCACATTTTTATCTCCCACCTGGAGTCTAACACCCCCACAGAAATGATAAAGCTTCAGAAAAACAATGAGAACCCTGCATATATTTCATCTCATGCCTAGAAGGAGATAGAGCATTGTAAGAATGTACAATTAAAGCTTTCACCTCGAAGGTTTGATAAGCATAATCCTGCTTCAAAAAAAACCCCAGCCAAATCCTGATAGGATTGACATAATAAAATTCAGTATTTCTGCCTCTAAATCAGAAGTGATAAAACCTTTATAAACCAAATATACCTGTTAAGTGCTTCAGAGAGTTCTTGTAAATGTCATAACAAGTGTGTATTGTTTTCCAGAATTTCAATCAGTTCTTTTACTATAAATGACATAAATCATCACCTGCTTTCTGATTTTATTCTAAATAAGTCTTTCAGATGACACTTCACGACTCCTATTCACATTCTCATCTGTTGTCAAAGTGGTGGCTTAACAAGCAAAGGCTTTCGTAATCACCTGTATTCTCTAAAACTGTGCAAATGGTTATCCAACCCAAAAGCTTATTTTCTCCAGTCCTGCTTTAATCAGAAGTCTGACTGCCTATAGTGAAAGCAGACAGTCTTTACAAGTTAGCTACCATGATCTGACTTGGAAAGATTCTTCTAAAAGGCCCAGAGACATTTTGGACTGATAAAATTGTCTTCACCTCCATGGTACTTAAATAGCCCTTAGTTCTGCATATTGTAATAGTTCTATTAATCAGCATCCTGGAAAGTATAGACATTGGTCTTAACACACATACGATGTACACATTAACTTTAGGCGTTTAGCATGAATGAACTGAAACCCAGGGTGCTTGCTGGTGCAGCATGGTATGCGAGCCACAAACTGAGTTCTTCAGTGTTTGTACCAATGCCTTTCCTAGGAAGTTAAAAACTCTTTTATTAGCATGTCAAGTGTAGAGTAATTATGGAGTGGGAAAAGTAGAAATCCATGATCTTCTACTTCCTTGCTTACTGCCTGGTGGGGGAAGTGATTTAAATAAAATAATCACTTTATTATATTATTCTACGATATTTTATAGAAAATAGTCAGTTTTAAGGTCTTGTTTCTTTACTGGTAGATTTATGATGTTTGGTGCTTTCCTTAGACACCATTTCAAAGAATCTGTAGATACATAAGAATCCCAGTCCTCTTTTTTTTAATATATAGAATTGTTTAAGAAAGATTAATTCTTTCCTTCCTTCATTTGCTTTCACCAGTTAGATTCCCTTCCTTCTATGTCATTAGGTGCATGTGTGTAGAGAGGGGAATGTCTTCTCTTTCTTCTTAATTTTCTAATACTTTGACTGTTTTATGAAAATTTTTAGAAGGATAATGGTCTCAAAGGCATTTAGTTTGTTGATACTTCTTGCAAAAGTGATGGCTAGGCAGAGAACAGGTTCCCAGATTAGTTTATTTTTCTGAGGAAAGTAATATGGTTGGAGCTCAGTCAATTGCAGCCCTCAAAACTCCAGTCAAAGGAGAGATATTACAGATTTTTCTAACTGCTGGAAAAGCTTATATGGGCTTCATATGTTAGTAGACAAACAGATCCCACACCTCAATAAAACAAGTCCTCTCTCCTGTTTTCAAGTCTCTGATGTCTAAGAAGGGGTGAAGAAAGGTTTCACAGCTGTTTTCTCTTTGAACTTTCACCAAAACTCAACCCAAAAGGTGATTTTCATTAGGTGCATTTTAAAGTAGGTTTCAGGAGTTCATCTTGTCAAGGAGTTAATAGGTAAAAACTCATGGGATTTCAACAAATCTTATGATCTCAGGGTTAGAATCATAGAATCATAGAATAGTTAG